GATAACTATATCTCATGAAAACATAAAGAAATGAAAGACATCTTTTACAATGAAACTTAAAAACAGAATATTTGGGAGTAAACATATTAAGAAATAGACAAGACTACTTTAAGAAAACTTTGAAACGAGGGACATCAGAGAAGATCTGAAGAGATGAAAAGCATTTTCTTGGCTAAGACTCACTATTGTCGCCTGTCTGTTAAGGAGGAAGTAGTGATGGTTCACACTAGATAATGAGGAGAGGCCAGGGTGCAAGAAGAGAACAGGGGAGTTAAGTGAAAGGTCCACTATTGTGAGTCTTATCACTCCTAACTTGATGTATAAACTTAATGCAAAAAAATCAAAACATCAATAGGTATCTTTGTTTTAAAGTTGATAAAATAATAGCAAAGTTCAAGTGGAAAACTTTTAGGGATAGCTGGCGAAATTCTGAAAGAATAAGGGTGGAAGACTTATCCTACCAGATAAGAAAAGATAGAAAAGGTAAGAATTAAAACAGTTTGCTATCAGTAAAGGAGAAAAAAAAAAACAGTAAAATATAAGAAAGAGCTGGAAAATTGGCTCCAATACTTACGGAAATGAAGTGGATGACAAAACAGGCACATTAAATCAGTGGCAAAATGATGGATAAAGTCTCTGAAAGGTATAACTGGCTAGTCATGTAAGAGATGAATAAAACTTATTCCCTACCTCATGCTTAACAACAAAAATTCTATATCCATCAACATTTAAATGTAAAATGAAATCACAAAAATGTTATGTACTCTAAGGGAATTAATTTATTTATACTGCTAGAGTGGTGAAGCAGCCAGAAAGGAGAAAAGTAATACATTTGATAAAATAAAACTTCAAGATTGTCTTTTACCAGAAAAAAGGGATCCCCCAAACTGTGAAAAATGCCACAATAATAGAACTCTTATAAATCATAAAAAAGGCAAGTAACCCCAAATTAAAACCAGAATGAGAGATCTCCTCACACCAGTTAGGATGGCCAACATCCAAAAGACAAACAACAACAAATGTTGGCAAAGATTTAGAGAAAGGGGAACCCTCCTACACTGCTGGTGGGAATGTAAACTAGTTCAACCATTGCGGAAAGCAGTACGGAGGTTCCTCAAAAAACTCAAAATAGAAATACCATTTGACCTGGGAATTCCACTCCTAGGAATTTACCCTAAGAATGCAGGAGCCCAGTTTGAAGAAGACATAAGCATCCCTATGTTTATCGCAGCACTATTTACAATAGCTGAGAAATGGAAGCAACCTAAGTGTCCATCAGTAGATGAATGGATAAAGAAGATGTGGTACATATACACAATGGAATATTATTCAGCCATAAGAAGAAAACAAATCCTACCATTTGCAACAACATGGATGGAGCTAGAGGGTATTATGCTCAGTGAAATAAGCCAGGCGGAAAAAGACAAGTATCAATTGATTTCACTCATCTGTGGAGTATAAGAACAAAGAAAAAACTGAAGGAACAAAACAGCAGCAGACTCACAGAACCCAAGAATGGACTGACAGTTACCAAAGGGAAGGGACTGGGGAGGATGGGTGGGAAGGGAGAGATAAAGGGGAAAAAGGGGCATTACAATTAGCACACATAATGTAGTGGGGGGCACGGGGAAGGCAGTATATACAGAGAAAACAAGCAGTGATTCTATAGCATCTTACTATGCTGATGGACAGTGACTGTAATGGGGTATGTGGGAAGGACTTGATAATAGGGGGAGTCTAGTAACCATAATGTTGTTCAAGTAATTGTACATTAATGATACCAAAAAAAATAAAATAAAAGGCAAGTAACCCAATAGATAAATTGTGAAAAATCTGAAAAAGTAGTTTATAGAAAAAGAAATATAAATGGGTAATTCATATACAACAGGATGTACAATTCTAGTGGTCCTCACTAAAGACACTCACTGTTCCCTCAAAAACCATCCTTCTTCATACCAAATGGCAAGGTCAAAAAGTCTAGTAGTTCAGAGATTCGGTAAAAGAGTAGGGAAATGAGACTCAACTGATACAGGTTCACTGAAGGGCCATTTCATAATATCTGTCAACATATTCGATGCAAACAACCTTGACACACCGATTCCATTTCAAGAAAATCTGTAGCTATCCTTGAATTGGCACAGTCCCGTCACCTAACCGGTGGCAAAGGCTTTTTAATTGGTTTTCCTGTTCTATGCCTGCCGGGCCGCCTGCCTAGTCCTTTAACGGAACTCTACAATGGATCCCATTTCATTCAAAGTAAAAGACAGTCTCTCAATGGCCTGTAAGGCCTTAGGTCAGTCCCCCATTCTTGCTCTGACCTTATCTCCTATTACAGTCCCTTCTATGACTGGGCTCAACCACACTGGCCCTGCTAGTCCTTAAAAGTGCCATGCACGTTCCCTCCTTTTCACTGGCTGCATTCTGCATACAATGCTCTTGCCCCGGATATTCCACCTGGCTCTTCTACCACCTTGAAGTCTTTGTTCCAGCTTCACCTTCTCAAGGAGACCTATACATACCAAGCAGTGAACATTACACCTGGCATATAAGGGAACTTGCTCAATATTTGTGGAATTCTTTGTGAATAAATAATGTGGGTACAGTCAGCATCTGGAACAATTAAAATAATGCTTTATGGGTTTTTGTTTAAGGAAAGAACTAGAATGTGGAAGTCTAAACCTAGGAGAACTCAAATATGTGACATTAATGTGTGTGGTCATATGATATTAATAGCATATAAGTCAAGAGGATATAACTGGACATAAAAAGTTCTAGTTGTATGGAGGAAGTGAAGATATTGATTAACTTTAAATTGTAAGTTAAAACAGAATGTTAAAGTTTTCTGAGAGCTGGACATAATATACGAACTCATTTACGTAGTTTGAAGAAAGAAGACAACCTATGGTGACAGAGTTCAGGACTGCGGTTAACTTGGTGGGTGGGGTGGGAGATTAATGTCAAGGAGGAGCCTGAGGGGGCTTCTGGCTGCCATGTGTTCAGTTTGCACACAATTGATGAGCTGTTTACTTCTGAGGTGTGTTTTTTGGTGGGTATAATTTTTACACTTCAATAACCACTAAAAGAATAAAAATATAGTGAATAACTTTCAAACTAGAGGCAGTGGGTAGGGGTGAGGAGTGGTGAGGGGAATGAAATAGGGAAAAAAAATAACTCAAACACTTCCAAAGAAAGTAATAAAGGGAAAACAAAACAGAAAAGGTGGACAAGTAGATTATTATAAAATTATAAAATAAGAGGGTTGAAATTAATCAACGTGTATCAAGAATTCTAATGAATAACAATGAATAAATGCACCAGTTGGAAGACAAAAATGTTCACTCAGTTTTTTAAAAATTCCACTATATTCTGTTTGCATGGGACACATGCAAAAACAAGTATATAAAGAGGTTGAAATTAAAGCATTGGGAAAGAAAAACCAGGTGAATACTAACCAAAAGAGTGCAGGTAAGCTATATTAGTATCAGACAAAAAAGACTTAAGGCAAAAAGCATTATTTAAGAGAGACAGTTATTACACAATGGTACTAAAGGATTTAATTCTCAAATTGCAAACCTAATAACATGGCCTCAAAACTGACAGACCTACAAGAGAAATAATACATAAATCCAACTCTTATCTAATAAGTCAGAGAATAAACTGACAAAAAGAAATTAGGATGGCTATCAGAGATCTCAACAGCACCATTAATAAGCTTAATGCAATGAACACATATGCAGTTTATACCCAACAATTCTAATACAGTCTTTTTGAGGATACATGGAATATTTGTTCATATTTGTATATGCCAGGCTCTGAGACTAAGTTCAACAGATTCAAGGGATTGTTATCACACAGGCTACATTATCTAACCATAAGGAAAATACAAGAGAACCAATAAACAAGAAAAATATTTAAGTTTAATAGTTGTAAAACCTGCTTCTGAATATCTCAAGGGTCAAAGAGAAATCAAACAGGTACATTTGGGGGCAAACTATAATAAATGTAGTATGTACCAAAATTTATGAGGTGTAGCGATAGTAGTACTAGAAAGAAACATACAACCTTGAATATTTGTGTGAGAGAAGAAGATGGGCTGGACTGAAGAGCTGATAAAGGAAAGGAAGGAAATAATAAGGATAGGAACAAAAAGAGCAAACAAGAGAGAGCTCGCGAGTCATCACGGCAATATGCAGAAATTAAACCCATGATAAAAAATAACAGGAGCAACATTTCAACCATACATCTGAAAATGTATGCAATATGGACAAATTCTAAGAGTAGTTAGGTAGAGATATATTTTTCAATATGTTAAAGAATTTCATAAAATACATTTTAACACTTAGGCTTAAACCGAGAAGACAGCGTACTTAAAACAAAGAAAGGTCCCTACCATTTATAGGCAGAAAACCTTTGTTTTTTAACTTCAAAACTCAGGTGACTGAGCAGAAAAATTGTGGTTTTTTTTTTTTAAACCCACAGCAGAGACAGGAAACCCCACCTGGGTGCTTTCGATGCCTCCAAAGGTCACAACATGAGCAGGACAACGCAGTTCAGGTGGCAGGCCAGAAGGAAACAGCGATCACTTGCCCCAGATAGAAAAATGAAGCCCTGCTGTCAGCTCACCTTTGCACAGGGCTTCACAGAGTGCATGGATTTTCTCTCCTACATACTTCAGTTTTTATGCAGACATGTTTTCTTACCTTTATATAAACAGTCATAGCTACTATTAACCAGACAACATACATGTCAGAACTGTGCCTTAAATATATTCTTTTTAGTCCACGCAACACAGCAAGGTGCTGTCTTTACAGTTTTCCAGGTGAACAGACTAGTGAGTAACTTGCTTACAGGCTCCTTCATCAGGAAGGGGCCCAGACTCAAGACCAAGGCTATGTGATGCCTTCCTTCATCCTTTAAACACAAAGGCTCCAGGAAGTCATCTACACAGTGAGCACAGTAAGTCCAAGACCAGCCCACCGTAGCCCCTACACAGCACCAACCTTCCCAATAACGTCTCGCACAGCAAAATACTTCTTGGTGAGGTCCCCTGCCTCGCTCAGGGGGGCATCATAGTCGTAGCTGGTGGGCTGAGGTTGGTAGGGTGTGTTGGCTCCTAGAAGATAAGAATGTGCCACTAATTACTCCCAAAGGCCCTCCTCTAGGACAATTTCTTTGGGATTCATGGGCTCAGCACTGCGGAGGAAGAAAATAAAGGACACATTAGAACCAATTGTTAGGCAACACAGAGGTGGCCCTCAGGATGAGAGGTTTAGAGAAATGAGTTTCTTCCTACAGGTGGCGCTTGCCAAGCACCTGAGAGTCTGCAGGCAACTTCTCCATGCACTGCTGCGACCCCCTTGGTTACCACCCCGTGGGACCAGCAGGGACCTGAAGCAGCTCCCCACAGAACCTGCTCAACATCTCACGGCGAGAAATGGCAGGGCTTATGGCAGGATCCCCATTCCTGACCGATAACCTTGCAGTCTGTGATCTTTTTCAGGACCTTGAACTCCGTGGCTGAGATAAGATCAGTGGTAGAGACACAAGTGACCAGGCCAGGGGTCAGCAGGAAACAACTGAGGAGTTATCCACCACCCAAAGTAGGAGATGCCTGCAGACACATAGTGGCCCAGAGACTCAAATAAAACCTTAAAGCCTTTGTAATGTCTGCCGAGTGAGGGGTGGGGCAGGGTGCCTCTCCCATCCTCCTTCAGGGCCAAGGCACTCACTCATCCCCAGCTGTGGGGAGTCGGCTGCTGGCAGCTTTCAGAGGCATTCCTCTCTGGTTACTGGTTTCTGTGGGGCTGCCTCGTCCAAGGCTACCACCCTCCTGGGACAGCCCAATACAGTGATTAACCAATGACGGCATGTAAGAACCTGGTCCCCATGCCACAAGGGCCAGCCCAGCCCAGGGCTCCTTCTACAAACAGCTGAGCCACTTCTGATACTGTGTATAGAAGAACACTAGAAAGTGCATCCCTGTGCAAGGGGCACAGTCTAAATCAGAGATGATGTTGTTACAGATGATGTTGACAGGGAGGAGGCTGTTTGCAATACTGGACAGTGACCCTATGCCAGTGCTTAGAAAACCTACCTACCCATGCATGGGGAGTCACAGGAAAGCTTGTGAAAACAGTTCTAAGCTGCACCTGAGATTTGAGTCAGCAGGCCTGGGGTGAGGCCTGAGACTGCATTTCTAACAGGTCCCTGGGCCATGCGAATGCTGCTTTGGAGTCCCAGCAAAGCTCTGGACACCCCTTCCTCTTCTACTCCACAGAGCATTTTGCAGGGCAAGCATGTGAGAATAAAGCTATTTTAGGATAATCTTATATCTAACCTAATTTGTAAGTAAATGAGGCACAAAATCTGATCGTTCACTTATGGTTAGTAACAAATTCCTTCAAATAATCGCATGGCTCACGAATGACGGAGCCACCTTGGGTGACCTTACTGGTGCGGCGGGGTGCCTCTCCCATCCTCCGTGGAGTTGAAAGATGAGCAAGACCGAGGATTTGGTCCACCCCACAGAGACTCGGTTCCATTAGTTCTAAGCACAAAGTCTATATTTTGAAAGATCTGGACCACTCTCCCCGCCCCCGCCCAATGAACTGATGAATCACATTCTTTCCCCACTTTCTTATTAATCAGTCAGTGGTTTGCCAACAGGAACACCTGACTCTGGGGATACATACGTTAAAACACATCCTATGCTGTGAGATGAAAAGAAAAATAAAACCACATCCCTTGTTGCAAGGAGCTCACCTCTCCTCTAGCTCTAGCATGGCAGTCACCTTGCTGCCCTGTGTTTCTTATTTCGACATTTGGCTTCACAGTAGACTGTGTGCACCTTAGGGGCAGGTGTGGCCTCAATTGCCGGAGCACCTGCCAGAGCCAGGTATAGAAGCGAGCTCAAAGAGTGGTTGCTGTGTGGACCTGAGTAAGTGTGACTTCCAGAAACAAATCTCACAGGCCCAGGGAACCCAGGCTGGGAAGCTGGCCAGTGGGTTGAAGGATGGACTGGAAAACTAAGTCTTGGCCTTACTTCTACCAGCAGAATCGTTGCCTGGATGCTTTCTGACCACCCGGGGGCAGTTAGGGAAACAGAGTCCACTCAAGCCTCCTGACACTTAGGCAGCGTGAGGTAGGAAGGCGGGAGAAAGGGCAGGACTGGCACTCCTCATGTCCCCACACAGGTGGAGAGAGGCACATATCCCTGCATGAGCTCGGGCACCCACCTGGGGGGACACTCCACACAACCCTCCACCCCCCAGAGCTGTTTCTCTCACTGCTCTCCTGCGGGAAGCTGGCCTGAAGAACAGCTGCTCAGAAGCACAGACTGGCCCTCCCTCACTGCCCCCAAGAGACCAGCAATAGGGACGCCCAGGAAGGCCGCAAACACAAGAGGACCTGGTGCAGGGGCTCCAGGATGCAAGGGGTTCTTTGAAGGGCAGTGACCGGCTTTCGAGGTCTGAGGTGAATACAGGCTCACCCCCTGCCAGCTGAATGGAAGCATGTGGACTTTCTTGTATCCTGCGTTTCTTATCTGTAAAGTGGGTCTGTAATCCCTAGTGCAGATGAGACTGCTATGAGCATTAAATGGGAAAACAGAGGCAGAAAAGAGACTTTTAGTGTTTATGGCAGGGTCAGGGGCAAGAGAGATGGACAACTTCCATTTTCTGCGTGGTAGTTTCTATACATCTAAATTAAAAAAAATAAGAATGTATCATTTGAAGTAAAACAATACAATATAAAAAGAAATTGTCTCATGAACTGTAAAATTTCAGAAAACATCAGTCTTCATTCCTTGATTAGATGACTGGTCTCAATCCCTTAAATGAAAGCTAGGTGGGATCCTTAGCAACTGAATGAAAAAGCATCACCAGTCTTAACTGTCTCTAAGGAGAAGACAGACTCACAGAGATTATCTAAAACTTCAATTACTAACCTTGGCTCTCTATTGTCTTCTAAGAATGACATTGGAATTTTGTAATATCTCCATTCCTTGGCTCTAATAATAGTAATAATATTAATAGTACTTGTAAGCAAAGTCTTCTTCTAGCCCATCCCACACAAAAGAGAGCAGTCCAAAAGAGAAACTTGGTTAAGAGTGGATAGTAACCAAATACTATCAGGACCCCAGGAGATTCAGAGTCAAATTAAGCCTCCGAAACACAGTATGCTATCCTCAGTGATTCAGAGAGAAAGGTACAGATGTGGAGACAGGTGGGGAATGAGGCTTGTAGAAAAGTTAAGATAGCATGATTTGTCTTTACAAAAAGTCAATGGCAACGAAGAGAATTTTGTTGTTATTTTTCCTTCCCCACCCCCAAAAAAGATAAAAAGACCATATAGGAATGTAAAATTATGCAGCCACTTTGGAAAACACTATGGAAGTTCCTCAAACTCTAAACATATAGTTAGTTGCCATGTATGACCCAAACATTCCATTCCCAGGTACACACCCAGAAGAACTGAGAAAGGGATTCAAACAAATACTTATATGTCAACGTTCATAGCAACATTATTCATAATGGCCAAAAAATAGAAGCCCAAATGTCCATCATTTGATGAATGGATAAACCAAATGTGGTATATCCATATAATAGAATATTATTCAGCATTAAAAAGGAATGAAGTACTGACACATGCTACAACATGGATGAACCTTGAAAAGATTAGGCTAAATGAAAGAAGTCAAACACAAAAGACCAACTATTGTATGGTTCTGTTTATATGAAATGTCTGGAAGAGGCAAATCAATAAAGATAGAGGGTAGACTAGAGGTTGTCAAGGGCTGAGAGGAGGCAGAGTGGGGAGTTACTTGGGCACAGGGTTTCTTTCTGGGGTGATGAGAATGTTCCAGAATTAGAAGATGGCAATGGTCAAGCAACTTTGCAATATACTGGATTGTACACTTTAAAATCATGAATTTTATGGTAAAGGAATTATATCTCAATAAAACAGATATTCCAAAAAAAGGAAGAAAAGAAAAGAAGCAAAAGACCACAGTAGAATATATGAACAAGTAAGCAATAGCCAGAGACTATGACTGAGGTCCTCCCAGCTAGCCTGGCTTAAAACAATGAGGTTTCTAAATTTTCCCTTAAAAATTTTTTCAAAGAAAATTGATTTTTAAAAATTACACGGTCAATTCTTACATATTAGAATATTTAGGAGACAACAAACAAAAAGAGAAAATAAAAATTGTCCACAGGTACCCCAGCCCGCCATAGAGCACCAGAAACATTCTAGCATAAGCTTCCATGAACAGGTGTCAGATTGCTCTTACCATTCCAATAGGCAAAGTTGGTCCCACCTATAAACATGTACCTACAAGAAACAAGAGAATAGACAGTACTTCACTGTGAGCCTATAGCTGTAAGAGGGCTCTCTCCCCTCCAGAAATTAATACTCACAAGTTCACACTTGCCCCATAGGCAAGTATTTCATAGAGGGTCGAAGCTACCACTTCAGTCTTGACTGTTGAGTGAGGTTGGCCCCAGTGGTCTAACCAGCCGGTGTAGAATTCGGAATTGACCTAGAAAGAGAAGAGGACGTGGAGACAAACTAATAACTGTTACCTGTCTGGGCTTCCCTGTAACTGCCGTCCTATCTACTCCACCAAGGGATGGCAGAAAGGGGAGTTGACCTGCACTGCTTAACCCAGGCTGGAGGGCCAACGGGGCGTTTCAATAGCAGCATTGTCCAGACTCAGTTTTCAGGTGCCGGCAATACAGGTATTCTGAAATGTTGCCCCTACATCAAACCTTTGTTAACCAGGTTAAATATGATAGGAAAGTTTGTTGGGTGAAAGAATCAGATGGTGAAATAGTTTTATAAAATTATCAACTCCAAATCCACCCTTTGTGTGAATCCAGATTGTCAGATCCCAGGTTGACTTAAAGTGAGGAAGACTTGTCCGAGTGTTCTGCAAAGCAGGACCGGCACACTTCGTGCTTCTCTTAGGCATTACCCTGCCAAGCCCTTGGTCTTGAGAAGGGAAAAGAAATTCGGACATGTTTTAGGGTCTGCTCATCTCAGGGCCCAGGCAATAGTGCTACCCAAAGCCTGTCAATGTGGGCTCTTCACCGCTCACTAGGCAGAGACCAGATTAAGAGAAAGTTGTTTTGTACAAAGGTTTGGACACAGTGTAGCAGCCTGAGCTGCTGAAGAGAAGACGCAGGACACAGCTCCTTAAACTGGGCCAAGGGCCCACAGCAGCACCTACTGGGAAGGGAAGGCAGCCAGCGGAGGACTGAGGCCACGTCCACCTGCCTGGGCCTTGCCCCGTTCCTCCTACAGTCGCCTACACAGCATGCCATGAAGCCCTGCAGGTCAGAGTGCACTCAGCTACCTCCATTTCCAATGCTACCTGGTCGCCTGTTGGCCATGCAGATCCTCAGGACCCACCCCAGACCGCGTAGATCAAAGCTGGTGTTTTAACAAGATTCCCAAGTGATTCATAGGCACATTGACAGTGGGGAAGCTCTGAAATAAACAGCTCTCTGCAACACAGTCCTGAACTAAGACGTGGCTGCACAAAAAATCAGACTAGGAATTGAGGAACTTGTAGCAATCTGAGGAAGTTTGTTGAATCTAATGATGAACTAAGAACGTGGCCCTGCTGCCCACCCGCTATCTGACCCTGGGTAAGTGACCTGTCCTCTGAGCCTCCCTGAAAAGGGAGAGGATGACACCACCTACAACAGCAGCCATGAGGACCGAGCGATGGCAGTGTGGGAGCACAGAGCCTGATGCCCAGCAGGCCGCCGACCCAAGCCCCACTCTGTTCCCCTCCAGTGCAGGCCTCGAGGCTGAGGGGAGCACTGTGAGTCCCTCATGTGTGCAGGGGGCTATGGCCCCACCCTCCTGTCAGCTCCAGACCCTAGAGCCAGGAAAAGCCAGGACTCACACCCACCCTCCACAGCACGTGGCTTCTCTCCCCCAGCAGCTGCAGGGGAGTCAGTCCAAGTGGCTGGTCTCCCCACACTGCACCCCCAGTTCTCACCAAGGGTCCTTGGGGCTCACTCTGCCTCTGGGTCAGGAAAGCAGCCGTGATGTTGGAACCTGGGAATGATGAGAGGGGAAGGTCAGTTAGGGGGGTAACAAGAAGTTCAAGAAAAGGCTCCTTGAACCTGAGGCCCTCCCCTCCCCCACGCCCCTCAGACCATCCACCTGACGGGCGTGTGGGGACCACAGAACGGTACTTCCTCTCTGAACAGGTCGCCAGGGTCCTTCCTGACTGCACTGCCCCGGGAGTCCCTGTCACAGGCCTGTCCTCTCGTCTGTGTCCCCACAGCCTGGACACACATCTTGTATCCTCTCTTCACAGGGACCTCCAACTGACCTAAACACTCCCTTCAGGACAGGCCCGCTTTGAAGATACTTCCTTGTCACCTCCACAGTGTCACACGGTAGTGCCACCAATATCTGCCAATTAATTAGCAAATAAAAGGGATGCATGTGGTCTGTGTTTATCCCTGAATTGGAGTGTACCCCGAATCTTAATTTGGACATCTTCCACCATTGCAGACCACCTGCTCTAGGAGGCAGCAGTGAAAAAAAATGTTAAGAAACATTGCTCTAAAGTAATGAAATGAATGACCTTCAGCTCCACCCAGTATACCAAAGAAGCTCAGTGGCATATTGAGTGGAAGCAATATGATACTGAAAAATACAGACAGTTTACTTCCCAGTATAGAAAATTCAAACCAGATGATGGGGCCAGGTAGTCTTGCCTGTCGGTCTGGAGAGCAGGGAACTTACCTTATGCTGCGTCATCTTTCTGCATAACTCACAACAAGAGGGATGGGCCAGAGGTGGTTTGGGAAATGTTACCAAAACTGTCTTGCCTGACCTATGAGTGCTGTGTACGCCACAGAGGCTCTGCAAGGGAAGGCTCTGGGTGGGCATGCAGTGTGGCTAGGGTCCTTCTGGCTATCAGTGTTTAAACAGACTTTGTTTAAGGGGAGAGCAGCTTTCATAAAGGCCACGACAGCTAAGTGGACTGGGCCTGCCTCCCTCCCTCCCTCCCTCCATTCCTTCCTTCCCCCTTCCTTCCTTCCTTCCTTCCTTCCTTCCATCTTTCCTCTCTCCTCTCTAATTTTTTTTTTTTTTTTTGCTATGGAGGACATTATTGGGACAATCAAAATCTTTGACTAAAGTTTGGGATTACAAAATAGTATTGTAGGCATGTTCATTTCCTTTTTTTTTCTCTTATCATTGTGTTGTATTTAAGGAATGCTCTTGTTCTTAGGGGCCCTCTGCTGTGATTTAGGGGCAAAGGGTCATCACATCTGCAACTCAAGCTCAAGTGACTCAAAAAAAAATACACACATTTATATATAGAGAGAGAAACTGATCAAGTAAATGTGGCAAAATGTTAACCATGGGGAAATCTGATGAAGGGAATAGGGTTCTTTACATGAGTCTCGCAACTTTTCTGTAAGTTCTAAAGTTCTAAAGAATTTCAAAATAAAAAGTCACCCCCACCCCAGCCCCCAAAAAAAGACCACTCTTCAAGGAGCATAAAGACCCCGCTGTTCTCCTGGCTGACAGGAGACACTCCGTGCGCATTGCACATCCAACACCTGATGTCTCTAGAGAAGGAAGGGCAGAAGACTGAAGTGGCACTTTAAAAGGGATTCTTCTGTTACCAAAAAAGAAAAGAACTGGTTTTAAGTGAATCAAGTGCTTCTAGAAACATGGCACGTTGCTCAGAGCATCTGGTGATGAAGTAACTCAGCCACACAGAGCCGCACAGGAAGTGGCGCGCTGGTTTCCGGCTGCTCTGGCTCCCTTCCCATCACACGGAGGAAAAAGCGCAGTGTTTTCTGTTGGGAGGAGCACACTGGCAGGTGTTCCGAGTTCGCCGTCAGCACTGTTTGCCTGTGGGTGTCAGCACGCCGCTGAGCTGTGGGCTGAAGGACAGAGCACGGCAGGCCAGCGCACCTGGGGCAGGTGGGGCACAGGGCAGCTTCCTCATGTGCGTGGGGGCCCTGCCTGGGGTGGCATCACAGGACGCCCACGAGAATGGTATTGGGTGCAACCCGTGCTTACTAGTGAGACACTGATAGCCACAAAGCACATGAGATTCCCTGTTCCCTGGCCAGCACATTCTCTGCTGGAAGCTGGCCTTACAGAGAAGCCAAAGGCCAATCCGAGAGCAGGGGCTTATCTGGAGGTCCTGGCTGGCGCCATTTCTGCTCTGGTGCACCTGTGTGGGAACTGGATCATGAAGTTTGGGGCAGGGTGCCCTCTGCTCTGCTTGGAGACACACCGTTCATGCTCAGTCTTTCACTGATGTAGGCGGCTGACCTCAGAGTTCACTGTGGCCACGGCACAGCCCCGGGCATCCAGCCCTGATGCGGGGCCAGGGAGGGCAGGGAAGAGTGGCTCGGCCTGCACGAACCTGAAAGGCGGCTGCCGCAGGGCAGCGCTTCCCACAGGCGGGCAGGCCAGGCCCTACCAGAAAGGACTCCGAGGTGCAGGCTAGTCTGCCAGGGCTGGACACGGAGCCCGTCTCAAGGCCAAATCAGCATTAACAAAACTACCTCTGCTTCATCACGACTCTACTTCGCCTGATAAAGGAAAACCTGAGACATCGCATGTAATATGCCTCTGCTACTGAAAGCAGCAGCTGCCCCACGCGACAGCGTAAAGAGCCCGCAGGCCGCAGCTGGGTTTTCTGTTGCTGCAAACACCAACCTGCCCCGAAGTCCACGGTGGCATAGAGCCCCTGCAGGGCCCCGCACTTCAGGAACTCTTTACAGGCCCCATCGGTGGTGAAGAGCAGCACGTCGTTGCCCAGGTGGCAGCGGAAGCTCTTAAGCAGGAAACGCAGGTAGTCATAGTCACAGGTGAAGTAGCCACCATATTCATTTTCTACCTGCAAATTAAAAAAGAGGAAGAAGAGAAACACAGGAGACCCCAGGGCGGTTATTCCAGTTCGAGCTTTGGTGGGGAGGAAATACCTGAGCCCCTGCTGTGATGACAAGGCTCAGTGGTTGCCCAAAATGCCTCCTACGCTGCTCAGTCCTCAAAACCCACTTTCCACAGAGCACCCAGCATTAAAACTTACCTTCGGCTGCCTCCCCCGCAGAAACGAGAGAAAAAACAAAACACGTTAGTTTTCAGAGTGTAGTGATAGTCTCTCCTCTGCCCCAGATGCTTTAAACAGTACATACATAGTACCTTCCCATGGCAGAAATACCAGAGGGGAGAAAATGGAAAAAATATCTATTACCCAGAGATAACCACTCTCAGCATTGTGGCATACTCTTCCAGATTTACACACACACACATACACACACCCTATATATACACAAATAACATACAGTAATTGTTTTCTGTCCTCAAAACTGGTATTTTGTAAGTACCAGTTATAACCTACTTTTTCTCCTTCCTGTATTATGCAAATGTCCATGGCAGTAAGGAGGCAGAAAGCTGGGTGTGGATACACCGCCACTGACTCGATCTCCTGCCGGCAGATCCTACATCCACTCAGGGTGTTCCCCATTTTGGGCTCAATTTCAATGCATAATCTGTGCTCAATAGGTCAGTGATTTCCAGCCAGGAGCTATTTTGCCCACCCCACCCCTCTGGGGACATTTGGAGCTATGTGGGGCTATTTTGGGTTGTCACAACTGAAGAGGGGCTGTACTACTAGCATCTGGTCTGGAAGGGTCAAGAGATTCTGCTCCACATCCCCCTTTGTCAGCCTCCTGGCAGCAAAGTCAGTGGCGCTGAGGGTGGGAAGCCCTGCATTCTCCGTGGAGGTGGATGGCATCCCGAGGAGGGGAAAATGGATCTTAAGGGATTAAAAAAAAAATCTTATTCTTTATATATATAAAGCACAGATACACATAAAGTTATGCAGTGTATCTCGGGTATTAACATTTTATACACATAAAGTTATGCAGTATATCTCAGGTATTAACAATAAAAAAATATCTACAGAGGCTTTTTAGGGGGCAATAAGGTAAAAAAGGTTAAGAAACATTGTTCTAAAGCAATAAAACGAATGCCCTTCAGCCCCACCTGATACAACAAAGAATCTTGGGGGTAGGCTGCGGGAAGAAACATAGCACTTAAGGATACAGACAGTGCAGTTCCCCATATAGAAAATTCAAAGCAGTCAAAACCCAACTATCAAGTCTGGGTACACATAGAGATGGTAAAAGTATAAAGAAAAGCAAGAAACTGCTGACCTGAAAGTCAGGATAGTGGGAGGAAGCGGCGTGTAACCGACAAGGACACCTGAGAATCTTCTAGGGTCCCGGCCACGTGTCATTTCCCATCTGGATGGTACTTATGTGGGTGTTCCTGTCATGACGTTTCATTACACTGTACATTTATGTGTGTTATATAGTTGCTGATTTAATAAAAACTTAAACAAATATACAACCACAACATTTCAACCTGCACATAATACAAAATGAATTTTTGTGATCATGGGGATACATGGTCTTTAAATATAAATATAAACACAATCAACGGTGAGCTGCCAGAAACGGTGAGCATCCGGCCTGATGGTGGCTGGGAGAGGTGGTTAGGGAAGCTTTTGTGGAAGAGCAGCAGAAAAGCTCCCAAAGGATAGCATTCATCAGGGAAGAGGGACAGGAGGGGCATTTTCCTGCAAGGGGCGGATTGTTTGCCAAGCGGCAGCAGTTCCATATGGCCTGTGGAGAGTGGTGGGGAGCAGGAAAGGGAAGGTGAATGACCCACCACCATTATCTGCATAGCACTGCCTTCCAAGTGGCCTAATGGGGGACTGGTTTCTCAAAGAGGATCCCTCTGACAACACTTTCATGTTATGAGTTCAAGAAGCAAACCAGACTGTAGGGAGCAAGCCTGGTACAAGGGCTTGATGCATGGGAGATGAGGCCATCTTGGAAAAGGGTGTCTGCCACTCACACAGAGTAGAGAGCCCCCACTGGGCGACTGATCCTGATACTTTGATTAGTCCCACAGAAGTCCCTTTTGGAAATAATTGAGATAGATGCTAAGAAAAGCTCTGCAACATGGGAGATGAGGCCATCTTGGAAAAGGGTGTCTGCCACTCACACAGAGTAGAGAGCCCCCACTGGGCGACTGATCCTGATACTTTGATTAGTCCCACAGAAGTCCCTTTTGGAAATAATTGAGATAGATGCTAAGAAAAGCTCTGCAAGTACTGGCAACTTACTTTTCCCCTCATTTTCTTTTTTTCTCCTCTTTTAATAAGAGCTATTCAAGTGGCTGTGTCTTCCTTCACTTGGCTGTCTGGAAGTTCAGAGCAAAATTTAAGGGGCAGCTCCAGCGTCTACAAGGGCCCAGAGCCTTTGCCCTCATATTCTCTCCTGCCCACCCCCTACGCCCCAACCTGACCAAGTTTATCTTCACTCACTTTTCCAAGGCCTGTTTATCCATTACTATCATGGTGCTATATACCTTAAAATAAACAGGCTCATAATAAAGGCATACACATAATTGGGTTAGATGTTTAGAGAGAAAGAAAAAAACTCAACATGTACCAGGCAGCTTAGAACTGTGGTCACGAGCACAGGCCTCAGAGGCCCACATGTGCATGTGCAAATTTTAGCTCTGCCACTTCTTGTCCATGGGACTCCACCTGTAAGACATTTCCTCGTCTCTAAGAGGTGCAGGAGAAACACACAGAAAAGGGCTGGAGAGACTCAGAAGAGTCCCAGTGAGATTCACAGGAATACTCATCCTTCTAGAGCAGGGGTCAGCAAGCTTTTTCAGTAAAGGGTCACAGAGCAAGTATGTTAGGCTTTCTGGTCATACATCTCTGTCTCAACTCACCTCAGCTCTGCTATGGTAGTGCGAAAGCAGCCAGGCAGTGTGTTAGAGAGTGGGTGTGGCTGTGCACAATATATCTTTATTTATAAAAACAGGCAGAGGGCTATGGTTCGCAGGCCCATATCCTTGTGCTAGAGTGACTATCCCATCCTGTAAGTTCCTAAATGAAACCACAAAACACTGTAGACACTTAAAGTTTCAACCTATAGTTGTTCATCTTCCACAATAGGTATAAACAGGGCTATTACCTTATGACAAATATTCCATCAATCAGATGACATCAAGCTCTGGATGGAAGGTCCCCACACCTAATTATTGTCACCTTGGATATTATTAATAGGTGTTTATGTCACCACTTATTTTAGGTGTGGACTTGGTACAAACTGAGGTAAACATCCTCATATGCAAACCAGCTCTAAGCGGCCCTAGCTTAGCTAATCCTTCCAGAAGGGAATAGATGCATATATGCCTGAATCAGACGGATGAAGAAAGGTCCAGGCTGGGCTTGCTGTAACTGTAAGACAACAGTGTGGAGGCCCAAACTCCCTCAGGCTGGGCTTTGAGCCTTCTAGTCTGAATGCTTTTGCCTTGCCTGCAGACACAGGGCTCCTCTGTGGCCCCTTCAAACTCTCTGGGCATGCAGGTGAAGCCCTGCCATGATGAGCTAAGGTAGCCATCACTAGGACCTTGGTCTGAATTAAGACTGAGACAGAAATTAGTTTTATAGAAGCCTCTGCATGCTGACACACGGTTGACCGATGTCAGCTTCTTTCTCCTCTAACCCATCGGCCTCTATTCCAATTCCACAACTACTTGGTAGGTGTGTGATGTGTACGCATGTGTGATGTGACCTCATAGCTGTCAGGTGGTGAGTGGTGAGCAGAAAAGAGTAGAGATAAACCTGGGTCAGGGATGAAAGTAGACAAAGTGCCTTAAGTGATTTCCAAGGGGAGGCACCAACCGAGGCTTCTAGGAGTCAAGCAGGTGCCAATAAAGTCCACTGGGAAGGCTTCTGGACAGAGGGAGCCTCCCTGTGAACTGAACCTCAAATGACATGAGGACACCTATGAATTTGGTGTATGAATAATTTTAATGATATGAAGAAATACTTATGACGTAAGAATAAAGTTAAAAAGAAAGTCAGATAGGAAACTGATCACACAGTATGAACTGACTCTGTAAAAAGAAATTTTTTAAAGGCATGGAAAGAAATTCAAGGAAATCACCCCAAAATGTAAAGAGCTTTGCTTTGGGCTCCTAACATTAAAGTGACAATTATGGTTATTCTGCTTTCTAATATTTCTAAGTGATTCCCAACACTTACTTGTTTATTTAGTGTTTAAGAGGCAAAAGACGTAGGTAGGATTCAAGCAGGTAGAGATGTGCGAGGGGGCCAGGCAGAAAGGAAGCAGGGCCCCCAGGCAGGACCCATGGTCAAATTAAAGTCACCTGAGGTTGCAGGGGGTAGTCTCAAGGGAAACACCCCCAAGACAGTCAACTTGGCTGCCTTCTGCTGCATTCATCATTTGATGACATTTTTCAAAGCATTTCAATAACCAAAAGGTACAGAAAAGTTGTGAGCAGAAATGGAAATTGATTTAGAGAGAAGCAGAGACTGAAAAATGAGGGAAACAAAAGAAAACCTGAGATCAAGAAAAAGGAAGAAAACCCAGCTGTGTAGACACACCCAAGTTTCAGCCTTGAAATTTTCATAAGGGAGATGTGCTCCTATAAGCTTACCCAGTACAGACTCAAGATGCCTAAAGGGGCAGTGAGTGCTCCTTGTACATCCCTCTGGGGGCTGCAACCTGGCCTCTCTCCAGTGTGCAGGGTCAGAACGGGCTGCCTGGCCAGCCTAGCCCTCTTGCTGCCTCATTGGGTCCCTCACACCGTGACCACCCTGGTATTACTCCTAAGAAGGAATCTGGCCCACACTCCCCTAGGGAGCACCACGCCACACCCCCTTGTTGTCCTGCAATGCAGCTGGTTTTACATAACTTCACTCTTTTCATTTGGACCATCCTTGGGAAATGACTGATGAACATGGTTTTATGTTCTGCCTAAGTAATTTCACAAACATCAAAGATCACTGGAGGTCAAGGATCCTGATTTTTCACATGGAAAATACTTGCTATATGATATACCCCTCAATATACCAGTCTTTGCAGAGCAGAAAAGGTGTGGAAGCAGGAGAGTGAGGGCCAGAAGTTGGAGGGAAACTTCAGGGCCCCAGTTCACCACATCCTGTTTCCACAAGGATGTGACCTGATGCCTATGCCGCAAGACACCAATGTGGCTCAATCCATGCTGCGTCCCTGCAGCAGAAGGCAGATGGCACAGGAGAGACAGGTAACAGCACCAGCAGGCCCAGCGTACCATCCTGCTTCTGCCACCTGCCATCTGGGTGACCTTGGCAGTCACTTAACCTCTCTGAAGTTCTTCACTTAAGGGAGACTGTGGTTGGAATAATTGAATAGCATTTGTAGGGCATCCAGCACAGAGTTTGGTACACAACCAGCATGCAAAAATGGTAATGTTTCCCCAAAATGCAGTTTAAATAACAGCACCATCTGTGGCATCACCTCTTAAAGAAACCAGCGTAGGAGGCTCAGGTCTGCATCACTCCTATACAAAACGTGGATGGATGGAAACCTCCCCTCAACCCTGCTCATCTCCATAGTTACCTGCACTGTTATGATTGGGCCTCCATTCTGATAGAGGAGAGGTTTCAGTTTGGGCAGAAGGACTCCCAACCACTTGCCCACAGCTGCAAGGTAATCTAGAAAACAAGACAGGTTTACTATCACATGATGCCGACACAAGGCAGCCTTGTCATCTGGAGGCGGCAGCTGAGATGTGGGGACTCTGGATTCCACAACTACCTTCTGCAATGGGGTGGCTATATGCAATAAAAGTCTGCTAATGTTGCCCTGCAGGGACAAGGACCAGTATGCATGGTATCTGTCCCTGCCACTAGGACATGAAGCCTGGGGGACAGGAGGCATCCAGCTGGTGTTTTGTTGAGTGAAGAAAAGAGTGGCTGAAAGGTGCATCCTTTCAATCATAGTAGCGCTTTCTTTCTTTTTAAAGTTGAGTTTGAATCAGTTATATATTTACATTGTCAAATGGGGATAATAGAGTGTATACTTCATAAAGTTGCTGTAAGCATGAAATAAAACATGTGAAAACACCAACATATACTAAGCGAGCCCAACATGAGTGTAATACACTGAGAAGGAAATGCATACAGCGCATCAATACTAGGCTTTTATGCTGTAAATGTAATCGCTGACACCATTCCAGAAACTACATCTGCCATTCTGACTGGCTGCCCTTCCTGGCCCTGGAACATACCAAGGTTGTAGGAAGAGAAGGCATTCAAGTCAGTCAACTGTGAACAAGGCCAATGCCAATTCAATAAGTTGCCAGTTTATTGGCAAGATCTGGTCAAATAGCTCAGGAAAGCTTTATTTCCTACACATTCAATGTTGGATGATATTCAGTGGATGATGATTAATTTCAGACTTTCACTAAACTTTCAGTTGTTTGCACAGAAGTACCCCAGCCTTCATAATACCTGATCCTTTTGCTATAAACTGTCTGATTTTTCATAAATTCTCTGAAGACATCTCTAACAACTTACCTGGATCAGTAGAACGGAGAATAATAGATTCTTTCTGTAATAGCCAAGCAGGTAAACCTCCCTAGGATACAGAAAAAAAAACAAAAAAAGGAAGCTATTATATGGTGTCAGGGAAGATAGAAATTACCAGAAGCAGTGAGGAAAGGAAGGAAAGGTTCATGGAGGACAGGCATTTGAGCAGAGCTTTCCTTTTGTAACTTTGAAGGAAATGAGAAATTCTAACATAGTAAAAATACCATCCCTTTGCACGAATGCAAGGTTTTGGGAATCAAAGCCTTTCATATTGATTATTCCACTTAGTTCAGAACTACCCTGTTTGGTGGACAGAGCCCACACCATTGACTGCTCTTTCCAGGTGAGGACACTGCGTTATGTGAGTGACCACTGAAAGGAAGAGAAGCCTTCTGATGCTTACCTGTTCCTCTGTCTCTGGGCTTCCTAAGGCAATACACACCTGTGCCAGCTACAGTCACAGGCTCCGTGCTACCCAGAATTAGAGACTAATTTAAACTGTTTTAATTCACTTTCCCCCGGATCCCTGCCTGCCAGCCCACCTCTGTCGCCCACCAGGCAGGCAGAGCCCAGCCGGCCACACTCACCATGTCCCACTCCGCACAGATGTAGGGGCCAGGCCTCAGGATAACCAGCAGTCCTAGTTCATGTGCCAGCTGAAGAAAATGTTCCACATCGTGTTCTCCAGAAAACTGATATTGACCTGGCTGGGGCTCGTGAAAGTTCCAGGGCACGTACCTGCCAAAACACACACAGCCCCTTCCTGGAAAAAGCTAAAAAATCCAGGTGTCCTTCGTGAATTTCTGAACAGTCTATAAACCTGTAAGTCTGCAGGACACATGGACTCTCCTTTGGCAGCCTCTTGGGAATGAGACCTTGTTTTGACTTTACACAGCAGATACCCAAGCAAATCAGGTTTGTGAGGAACACTTTCAAGTTTACAACCAACAAAGGATGCCCTTTCCTATTCAATGCTTGACTTAAAAAAGTACAGAATTACCTGGGCACAAATTACTACCATGCAAGAATTATATATATACTATAAATTATATATTATGTATTATATAATGTGTAAAGTTTAGGAAAAATGAACCCATCTGTGCTAAAGTACTATGAGGCAGACTTGTATTTTGAAAAAGTAGTTTTTAATAAAAATGGGAAAACCTCAAATCCTCGTTCCCTCTTGAAAAAAAGATTTTGTCAGGAAAGCATGCAGGAGGTAAAGTGACAAAAACTACCAGCTCCCTGGCTGCTTCCAGCAGGGGACACAAATTTAAATATGAAGGCACTCATTGCCATCACAAAGGTCTTCTTGATGACTGCTGGGGGCGGTCCTTTTTCCACTATTCCTTGGTTTTCAGGGTTCCTTGGAACAGACATTCCTGGTCCCACAGAACTCACAGTGGCCTCAGGACCAGAATAATAAGTGGGATTTTCCCTACTATCTGCCCCAGGAATCTGCCTCTGGGGTTTCTCACTTTTTATCGTTGAAGGTTATCAGCAATGCAAAAACCAGAGTGGCCAGCCAGCTCAACTTTCTTCCCAATTAGTCACCTTGCAACAGCAGAGGAGCAGAGATGAAAGAGAGTTTCTAGGGCAATTATGTAACCCCAGGCTGTACACTTACCCCAGTAGAACCACAAGACAAACTGCTTTTCAAGGGTCTGCCTAGCAAGGCATATTCCTCTAAGAGCTGAGAGAAGCTCTGGCTGCCTACCAACATCCTCATCGTCAAATCCCAGGCAGACCTCTTGAAAGGAAAGGAGTGACACACAGCAGCAATTCACTGGAGAATTCCGCTTTATTAGGGAAAGGTGCTGGGTTATATAGGAAGGGGCGTTATATAGGATTGTGGTGTTACTTCTATGGGGCTGGTGGCTGTTGGCTAGGTGCTGGGATTGGGAGGGGGGCGAGAGGTGATTGGGCTTCAGGTGGCGCTGGCGGGAACCGAGGACCCCGAAGAGAAGCCAGAAGTTTGCCATCTTACTGGTGGGGACCCTTCACCTCTGACCAAAACAAGGAGGTTGGGCCAATTTCAATTTTCTCAGCTGTAAACCTGAACAGCAATACCTAACTTGTAGAAATGGAACCATTCATGTAAAGTGCCCTGCCTACAGTAAATGCACAACCATTGCTACCTCCCTTTGCCTTTGTCAGCTGATAACCATTTTATGATGTCTGGTGACAAGGTTCAAGGTTGGAAGAAGTGGTTAATTATGTCAAGAAGCTCATGACAAGCCCCTCCAGAACACCGAAATACGCAATTTCCCATTCTGAGCAATGAGGTAGCTGCCCTTGGAGATGCAGCTGTATCCTTTCTCTAGGTAGATGTCCAGGCCCAGGGGAGAGCCAGCACCCTCCTACTTACGTCTGGATGGCATTCAGCCCAGCCATCTTCATCTTCAGCAGCCGGTCCTTCCAGTAGAAGCTGGGTATGCGGAAGTAGTGAATGCTTCCCGAGATGTAGCGGAAAGGCTGGCCATCCTTGAGGAAGCGGTTGTGGCTGTAGTCGATCTGGAACATCCTCTGGGAGGCCTTATTCAGAGCAAGGATGGGACCAGGTGAGAAATTCCACCTTGCACATTTCACAAGCAGCCGCTCTGACTATGCAAGTGACTTCCTGCCTATTCAATTTGTGTAATGTGCTGATGGAGTTAATGTTTGGTCTCTGGGCCATAAAACAAACCACTGCTAAGCCAGGTCCATTCACTGTACTCAGAAACTAAAATATTCCAGGAGGACCCACATGCAGGGTTTTGTAGGGCTCACCATCCAGGGGCAAGCACCGACCTGATGATTGGTGCCTGAGATACAGAAGCCATATTCTCTGAGAGAAAACCTTGCTATAGGTGCCTCTTGGGGTAGCAAAGCCCAGTATACTGAGAACAAAATGCACACACCTCCCTCCCCTTGGCTGTGACCTGCAGGGCACTGGATGTACCTGGACAGTAATGTCCTTGGGCCAAAAGCAACAGAATGGAAGCCCCAAACCCTGCAGTCTCTTCCTAGATGCTGCTTGAAGGTCTGCAGCGATGGGCAAGTCCCCTCTAACTCTGCTGCTCTGACCAGTGCCTTTTTTTTTTTAATGAAAGAGAATAGAAAATTTATGTATTGCACATAAAGATAGGTATTATTTTATGAAACATCTGTTATATGTACATATACAGAGTTGCATATGTACATATGTCTCTACAGAGTTGCAACGTAAGATGTATTTCTAGCAGTCATACCAAATTTCAAGAAACACTGGGGATCACTTCAGAAGGTAAAATGCTGGGATTTGAAAGGCAAGGGCTTAAAGGGGAGGCCAACTGTTAGGCAGAATAGAACACTGCCCTCTGGTGGATGGAAAAAGGCAGCAATAGCCCACAGGTGGCAACAGGGCCAGGGCCACAAGAAGCCATTGAGACAGTGTCCTCCATTGTATGTAAGCTCCTTTGTGCATCTTTAGCTGTTTTTGTTTTTTTAAAAAATATTTTCTCATAGTAGCATCAAAGTCCATGAGAGTTCCAGGGGTTGCCCTTGAAACCGTATCTGGAAGGAACTGTGAGAGCCCAGATCACACTTGGCCTGAAATCCAACTGAGGAGTTAAAGCACTGTGACTGAAACTTAAAGTTAATTCAGAGTAGACTTCTTTGGAACACTTTAATGTATGTGTTACACCTCAATAAAGCTAACCAAAAAAAAATAAGCAAATGAATAATTTAAGAATAATAAAGAAAATGCAGAAGGTGTCTATATAAAATCACTTTGTTCTAGTAAACAAGGCTCCAGCTGTCATTCAAAGGCAAGAAACTCCTAAAGAAACTCACAAAAATATAAAGTATATCTTATACCAGGGGAATGGGTAATTTTGAAAACATATTCCTAGCTTGCACAATGATTAAGTGTCAAATTGGGATTTCCTACAAGTTCTGAGAGTTCACGGATGGCGCATGAGTTGGGGAAGTTCTCTGGGCAGGTAGACAGGAAGTAAGCAACCAACTTTGGGCAGAACTGGAGAAAGGAAAGGGTTGTTAGAAGCCCACATGTTTAGGGGAAGAGGCTTGGGGGAGCAGGAGATAAGGTTGGTGAGAAATGATCTTGGTAGACAATGGAATCTGGCCTTTGCCTTACACAGCAGAGCACCATTCCTCAAACAACCTAAAAAATCCAGCCCAAATGTCTCCCATCATCCATTTACCCATGTGACCAAGCACCTACTATGTGCTGAGTAATAAAAGGGAACCGCACAGATGTGGCCACAGTCCACATGAAGCTTCTGTCTAGCATGGAGGGAACCCAAGAGTCAACACAGTGCGGCCTAGACGGTAAAGTTTGGCTGAGATCAGTCATGTCGTACACCCTAAACTCACAGTGTTCTCTATCAATTGTATCCCAATAAAGCTGGGAGAGGGTAAGGATTAGGGTAGAATGCTGCAGCAATAAAAAGCGGGGTGGAACCCAGGGGTGGGGGACGAGGATAAATTTCCCAGGGCAGGGAACAGCCCAAACCGTGGCCCTCAACCTTGACTACACATCAGAATCATTTGCAAAAGCTTTAAAAAACAGCCAAGTCAGGCCTCACATCCCAGATGTTCAGATGTTCATTGATCTTGGGTGGAGCCCAGACATTAGTATTTCTTAAAACTGCCCAGATGATGTAATACACAGCTAGGCTTGGAAACTACTGGCCTAAGCTAAGCCCTAGGGTGAGGAAGAGTTAGCCAAGGGGAAGGCAAACATGGGCACAGGAAACCGAGAAGTGGTGGAGAGGGGGCACAACTCAGGGAGGGAGCCGCAGAAGCCGTGTCTAGATGAAGCCACTGGAATGAGGAGGCTGGCAGGGGCCAGACCAACCGAGCCTGAAGTCCATGTTCAGGGGCCTGGACTTTATGCCAAGAACTATGGAGAGCAACTTAAACAGAATTATAGAATCAGACGTGTGCTTTTAATTTTTGGCACTCTGCCTTTTCCTGAAGCAACAAAAAAAGAAAGCAGAGTCATGGACCATGGCGGGGGAGTGGGGTGGGGCACAAGGCAGGCAGCGGACAGCTGGTAGAACCTACAGGACCAGGGGGTCGGCTGGATGGAGGAAACAGACTGACTTGCAAAGGCTCCCACTTGGCCCCAGGTGGAAAATTTGGAGCATTTAAGATGAGAGAGACTAAAGATATTTATTAACCGGAGTAAAAAAAAAAAAAAGAAAGAAAAAAGGCACGGATATTAACACCTATGCATTCACAATACCTTATGCAAGGGAAAAAAATGTCACTGGTCACCTTTGGAGATTGCTAGAGTACCAACTAATTACTCTGAAAAATGATAAAGGGAAAGAACTCAGCAGTTTCCTTTCACATGAAAACTGTATTTCAGGGTAATTGAAAAGTTGACAATGGAAAATTCTTCATAGAATTCCAACTAATAAATGCAGATTGAATAACAGAATCTGACAAACACTTTTCTAACACTTAGTGAGGTAATGGATTTCAGCTATAATTACCTATGGATGCTAAAACCATCAGAAAAGTAGATGTAGTTTTATAAAGGAGGGGCGAGGCAGATTCTATATAACCCCTCTGCTCAATGTCAGTTTCGTAAGAATAAAAAAAACAGACATTATGTCTCTCATGCTGTGATTCAACAGGATGGATACAGACCCTGCTAGAAGTAGTCCTCAACTTAAATCCCAATTAAACCTGGATCTAAGGACACCACAAGGAAGCACGAAGCCAAAAGTCCAATGATAGAGTTGCTATGACAAATGGATGGTATTAAAATAAAATAAAACAAAATAGAGTATTGTTAGAAAACAGTAGAGAACTTAAGAGGCATAAACACTAACATGGGAACCTGTTTGGGATCCTGATTCTAACCAACTGCGAAAGAAAGAAAAAGCAGCGTTGACATAGGAAAAATCTGCACATAGAGCAGGCATTAGGTAGAATTAATTTTGTTGGGTATAACCAGACATGGTGATAGACAGGAGGAAAAACAAAGTTCTCATCAGTTAGAGATGAGTTTGTGGGTGGAACACCAGGCATCTAGGGTTACTACAGACTAAAAAGAAAGAGAGCAAAAAACAAGTAGAGGGTATGCATGTCACACAAAATTGACTATTGTGGAAGCTGCCTAATGGATACGTCGGTATTCTCTCTGTTTGTAGTTTTTAAATTTTCCTTGAAAAAAATTTTTTTTAACATACATTTATCCTTTTCACAGAATTTTCTCCACAATATACATACAAATGAGCTTTTTTTTTTTTTTTAGTACAATACTGCTTACACCAAATTGCACTTAAAAATAAAGGCTTCTTCTTGGCAAGAGAAACAAAAATATGTTCATGAAAACACTTGTAAAAACATTGTTCATAACAGCATTATTCATAATTGTCCAAAACTGGAAACAACCAAATGTCTATCAACAGGAGAAATGGACCAACAAACTAGAATATTCTTGTGATGGAATACCACACAGCAATAAAAAAGAACTACTGATACTTGAATAACTCTCCTTTGGGAGAGTGGGGACAGGTTATGCTTGGGAAAGAGCAAGAAGGAGCTTTCTGGGTTAATGGTAACATTCTATAGCTGAATAAGGGTTTTGGATTACACATCATCAAAACTCATCAAATAGTACACTTAAAATCTGTGTATTTCATTGAATGTAAAATTTACCTTAAAAGGTATAAAAAGAGCTATAAATTAACAGTGACCTCCAGTTACTGACATACATGCTGAAGTATCTGGGGGGGAAGTGCACCAATGTCTGCAATTTACTTTGAAACACATCCAAAAATAAAATGAATTGATGGATGGCGGGTAATATGTTAATGGAAGACACTGGATGGTGACTGTAAAGTTCTTTCAACTCTGTGTGAAAATGTTTCCAAGTAAAATGTTGACACAAATAAAAAAGTGGGGTGGGAATTGGATGAAAGTGATCAAAAGAGGACACACTTCCTTTTACAAGATAAATAAGTACTGGGGATGTAACATTCAGGATGACTATAGCTAACTTATTTCTTTTTCTTGTAACTATATGATGATGACGTTAGCTGAACCTGTTGTGGCAATCATTCCACAATATATGTACATTAAACCACCATGCTGTAGCCTGAAGCTTAGATGGATGTCAATTATTTCTCAATAAAACTGGAAAAAATAAATAAATAAAAAAGTGGACTGAATAAATTTTAAAAAGTGAAAAGTACAGCAGAGGATAACACTGTAATATCTTTGTATGGTGACAGGTGGTGAGTATTTTGTAATGTATGTAACTGTCAAATCACTATGTTGGACACCTGACACTAATACAATAGTGTATATCAATGATAGTTCAATAAAAAAGAGGACTGATAGAAATCATGGTTTCTGTGGTATGATACGTATACGAGTGGATGTACCCACAGACATGTAATGGAAGATCATGAAGTTCCTTAAAGTAATGAGGTTCTCAACTCCTACCCTTGCTGAAACATTGCCCATACACACAGAGTAAAAAGACAAGGTCAAAGTGTGTTAAAAACACACCTATGTTAACTGCAGCTCTTGCG